AACAATCATGATCTTATGAAAAACAAATATAGGGAAGAACAACCACTGTGGACCCAAAGTCATTTACATGTACATACATATTTGAAGACACTAAGCATGCATAAGAGGAAAAAATGATGAAGCCCGTAATTAACAGACTAATTAGACATGATTCCTTGGGAATATACATATATGACTACAAAATAATGACTATAAAATACATACGGATCTGCTCGTTCAATTCGACATGTTTCACAGTAAAATACAGGTGGATGTTCACTCTCCATAGGGATCTCTGTAAAAATGACACAACTAATATGTTGCTGTACTTGACATTTTGAATCTATACACTGCAAATAGAAAAGGCCTCGGTGAGAATTCGAAACAAGACTCCACACTTTTACAAGGGAAGCAGTAATAAAATAATCAGGGCATTGCAAATGCTCCAATCCTAAGGTTAAGCGTAAGACATTCAACTTCAGAGTTACTTTCTCTTCCTGCTAAAGCTCAAAGATAATAACAAAGAACTAAATCTAAAATGAAGTATGACTACAGAGTTCTTCCACAATTCATCCAACCAAGAATAGGATATGACCACTATGTTTGACCTGACCTGTATCATGAACTCGGTAGGCAGCGAACTTCCACAAGGACAACGAATCATCTTCCCTGGTGTATTGAAATCTTCAACTTCTTCTGTGACACTCATAATATCTAAGCCATTTGAAGCCCTGGCTGCTAAATCTGATGCATCCATTAACTGCATTTTTCTGGGTAAAACAATTGGTTTAACACACAACATGTGAACAAAAAATAAGGGGAAACAGCACTATTTTCCAGTAAGTAGACGGGTAAAATATAGTTTTAGAAGACACGCTACAGAACAACTGTCAGGATTTCATGAACATAACATGAAAATAGAAAAAAGCACCTGTAAGCATCATCAATTATTTTCACTACAGCTTCCTTTCCAATCTGTTTTTTCCTTGCTAAGCGGCGAGCAGAGCAAACTGCACAAAGTTTTCACCCATGTATAGCAACATTTATCAAGTTGAGTTAAACTCTGTCAAGGCATGTAAACAAAGAGTTATGACTTTGATTCTAAACAAGAGAGAACCAATTCTTGACAGTAGAAGGGAATATTCAATTTCCTACAAAGGCACAAAAAACACATCTGGAGAAAAAAAAGACAAAACCCACAGGCTGATTCCCCTGTTGATGGACACCGGTCTTGACTATCAGTACCAAAGGTGAACAATAACATTCTATTGAAGACAACAAAATTCTATGGTAACTCACTTTCATCGTCCGAAAGCAAACCTATAACTCTGTCCATTAGATCCTGCACAGAAAGAAAAATAAATACCAGAGAAAACAATCGTGATTAAAAATGCAGGGAAAAAGAAAGAGAGAGACCATGCATAATTATTGAGCCAACAAGTTAGAGATAAAATAAAATTTTCATAGAATAAAAAGCCTGCAAATCTTTGCACAAACAGTTACAGAATAAAGGCAAAAAAAAAATTGACAAGAGAAAAGCAGAATACCTGCTTCTTCCCTTGCTTTGAAAGACCCAACAGGGATAAAATCTCCTTAAGCTCTTTAATTCTAAAATATGCCAACTTTTCCTACAAGTTAAGCATATAAACATCATGAGCACACTTACATACATGCATGCATGCATTCACACATACACATACACGCCGCATGTATAAAATAGCAAAATAAAATTCATTTCGATCAAAAATATTTGTCAGCTCGAAATTAACATTCGAACAAACCACACTTAATCCAAGCTAAAAATTAGCACACTTACATACATGCATGCATACATCCACACATACACATACACGCACGCATGTATAAAATAACAAAATAAAATTCATTTCGATCACAAATATTTGTCAGCTCGAAATTAACATTCAAACAAACCACACTTAATCCAAGCTAAAAAGCAAACACAGTGATTATCATACTAAACTAGTAAATTACTAATTACCTTGCAGCTAGCCATCGAATCCATCTCCATTGGCACAAAAAACTCTTAAAAACAACAACAAAACCTCACAATTCAGCCCCCAAACCATGAAATCATTAAAAAAAAAGGGATAGTTAAAACAAATTGACTTACCTTGACTAGAAATTGAAAGGAACAGGAAACTTGGCACTGATTATACTAAGCTAGGGTCTCTAGTCTAGTGATCGGTAAAGGGTGATGACTTTAAAATGTTTAGAGTTAGGGAGAGGAAGGAGATTGGTCTTCAATTTGCAGTGACAAATGGTTCAGGTGGTGGCCGGATACAAGAAGAGCGGATTTGAAACGCTTATAAATATCATGTTTTGGAGTTGGGGTATAAGTCCGGGATGGGATTTGCTGCATGCAGGAGTAGCGACTGAGGGTGGCGTGGAGGTATGTGATTTGTGCATAATTTGTTCGCAAATGACTGCGCGACAGCTCGCCGGGATTTGTGAGTTTGTGAGTACGAGAAAAATTAAAAAAACATTTTCGTGGATTCTGCTGACGTTGGCAGTGTCTTTTCGGCGTGGCAGCCAAATATTGTACTATCGGTTTGCATTGACTCGTGGCTCAACTGCCGATGTAAATTTAGTATTAGGTGAGATACCTTTTTCATTTGCCCTCTCGCGACTCTCCAGTCTTCGGTTGTAAATTTAATTTCCAGCGTTTTCATTTTATATCTTATAATAATTAACAGTGGCATTAAAACAAGGATTAACATCTCAATGCGCCGCACCTTTATATCGGCTTGTTATACACCGTTTATAGCGTTGTTCATGTGGTGGATTTTCCTTCTAGATCCCTTTAATTTTGACTTCCTTTTATTTTGGTCATTGAACTTTATTTCCTTTCAATATAATACTTCTAAGTTGTGTTATCATTTTATTTTCTAGTTAATCAATATTCACGTATTTAAATTTATTTTTTTAATCTAAGAAAATTTAGGTTTATAATAAAAATTTTAAATAATTATAAAAACAGTCTCCATCGAGGGATTTAAAGACTCTCCTCGAATGATAAAGTCAATAAATTTATAAAAAATATATTAAATAATTTAAAAGAGCTTTAATTTCCATGAAAAAAAAATATTTGTTCTTGAACTTTAAATTTAATTATGCTAGAAAATTTAAATATTTTTATCTTATGAAATAAAAAATTCTAAACTTTTTAATTTAATGGTTCAGGAGATATTTATATCATTTAAACCTTGTTGTTTTCATAAGAAGAAAGAGAATGAAATTCCTCTACTTTAATATGAATTAAATATTTATTATACATAATTAATGAGATAATAAGCATGGTATATCCTTTAAGATACTTTATATACACTTACAAGCACAGAGAGATCATTATTTCGGTGTAAAAAAATATTTTAGATGGAAAAGTGTAATAGTTTTTATGTTTTTTATGTTTATATTATGGAGGATTGTTTATGATCAAGTATGAAGCCTTAAAAATTGATAATGTTTGAGTTTTTTTTGTATATATTTTTGAAATCGTGTTATATTAGATTTAGCTAACTAATAAGTCCAAATATTTTAAATTTGATATGTTTGTCATGCCTATATTATTTTTGGCTTTGCTTACCATCAAATTTAAATAATTTAAATTTTTCATGCTTGTCATATTCATGTTATCTTATATTTAACTGATTGCCTCCAACATGTTTATTAGACTTATATTACCCTGGACTTAGTTGAATTTCAAATTCATGTACCTTAAATCCAATATGCTCACCAATTTGATATTATCTTGGACTTGTCTGATTGTTAAAACATCACTCACTGCCGAGCTAAAGTACATTAAATCTAGCATGTTTTCAAAATCATGTTATATTGAATTTAAGTAATTGCTAAGTTGAAATATAATAGACATAACTAATTATCAAATTCAAGTATAATAAGTGAACATATTTATTAAATTCACATTACTTTAATTTTATTTATTATTAAATCTAAACATCTTTACCATCTCAAAGATTTATATAAGAAAAGTCATCCCATCATGTGCTCCCATCAGTAAATGAAGGATGACAGAAAGTAAGTTCACTAAACTTTATGTTTTTTTTTATAATAAGTTCATCTTGAAAATAAAATTATCTTATGATATAAGGACTAACATGCAACTAATGTGATAAGAATTCCGCAAGCCCACAACTTATTAAAAAAAAAAAAAAAGAGTTCCTTGCCTTGTTGTTAAGGATTGCGAGCCTGTTTGCTCCTGGCCACGTATTCATCTATTTTGTTATTAAAATATTATAATATCTACGAAACCATTTGTTGTCGCGGGTAACAAATTTATCAACCGCCATGTTCATATATTCCCAGAAAACTAAAATTAAAAAGGGCTAGCTTGAATACGAGGAGGAACTTCCAGTGATGGAGAGCTGTTAACATATTTCTGTATAGAGAAAAAACTTTAACATATTTCTCTGATTTTTTTTGACCAAGATTGAAGATGACTCACAACTGTGATTAATGACACGGGACGCTGTTATAACTTCATTTACCTCCTCATATATTGCCAGTGAATTTTTTGAAAAACCCCACGTATAATTATTTCATCCTCAACAACATAAGCCACTTTATAGTTGTCAAGCAGTCCAGCATTACTGCCCCCGTGCTGTTAAAAAAAATAATTGAAAACCAGAAAATTATCTCAAAACCGTTTATTTTACTCCCAGAGGGCAGAGAGCAACGCCATTGCCCCATTCTAGTCTTTTTCGCCATGGACGACAAGGCAAGCGGCAGAAGAAGAGAGGTCCTGTTCTTGGTGGGTTTTTGGATGCAAGCAAGCAGAGAAATCAATCTGGTTAATGAAATGTCCTTCAATGGTCTCTCGTTCTCCACGAAGCCAAGAACACGAGGGTCGTGATGGTGATGCCTCTTCACTCCCCGTGGGTAAAGTCATCGTCGACCCTCTTAAAGGCAATGATGATGATAACTCTGCTACCGAGGTTAAAAAGATGTAATTTTTCCGTCTGTTTTTTTTTAGATACGTTCAAGTCTATGTCTTCTGGCTTTGTTTTTTTTTCTTGGACGATTTCTTTTTTCTTTTTTGGTTTGATGGTTTATTTACAATGCGTGGCTTCTTGGGGTTGTCGAATTCTTTTTGTTTTGAATAAGTTTGTGGTTTTTTCTCATTGCTGGCTGGATTTTGTGATGGTCGTTTCTAGGGACTAATTTGTGTGGTTTTGGTTAAGGGTGATATTGTGCTGCAGCATTACGAGAATGCATGTGATTTTGTGTTGGTTCTTGTTCTATTTTGTTGGGTTTGCACATTTTACAATTTCTTTTGCTTACTGTATTTCATGAATTATAACTCTTTTATGGAATATAGCATTCCTTCGCAGTTCATGTCATTTTGGTTTTCCTTGTCTGTAATGTTATGGATTGTGTTGCTAAGGGTTTAATGAATTTTACAAACGAGAATTGAATCTCTTGCTCTCGAACTTAATATTTCTGTCGATTTTCTTCCGATTTTCCCTTCCAGGAATTGTGGGACCGCAAGTTAGAAATGATGGTTTCTTGTGCTAACTCATATAACACTTTCAGTTTTGGCAATTGAACCCGGGAAGCTGAACAAGTTGGTGAAATTTCGTTGTGTTATGGGAAAGCTGTCTGTGAAGGGAAGAATACCGAATAAATTCGACACAAGGCCTCATAGCGCATACCTTGAGAACCATGGAAAAATCTGCCGTGAAAAGACAGGGCGTGATCAATAGTAGACAAATAAAGGCTATCTTTTATACTAACATCTTTTCTTCACACTTTTTTACGCATGTTCAATTCTCATTGACCTTGCTTTATTTCCCATTTCAGGTTATCGACAACGACACTGGGAATCATACGAGGCCTATGCCAGGGATGATTATTTTTTGGATTCGCTGGACTGTGAACTCCATCAACACACTTGTCAATGTTTGTCACTTGGCTTTTAGTGGAGGCACTTTTCCGTTTTGCCATTACTAAATAGATCAGAGATATTTATAACAAGGATTATTCTGTATAATTGTTTTTGTACTGGGATAAGAGGAAACTATCAATCAAGTCATCATATATGAAAAGGACGAGAAGAGACTGTTGAGAAATGGAGGGGATTATGTTTAAGCTTTTTGAAAAAAAAACCAATTGGACATAAAGACAACTGATCCTAGAGACAGACCAGCCCGGAGTATGTTTCTTGACCACTTGATTTCTGCATTTGTGTTTATGCTTCCTTTTGGATCTTAGCACCACTGTTGTGTTTGTTTTCTATATATTTATAGTGATCAAATCTCTTTATAGGGTATTGTGTTTCATTTACAATATTCGAGTCATTGTACATCTCCATATTACCAAATGATGCTTTATGAAAGCATCATAACATGTTGCTTTTAGAAGAATGTATGCTAATATGATTCTGTAGATATCCATCCTATTTGTGCAATAGGATTTCATGACCTATGCAATCATGAGTTTGATAAGTCTTGGTACACATGACCTTGAGATCAACACAGAATATCTTCTGTATATTTGAATATTTGACTTGATAAGCACTATTTGTCTAAATGCGGGTGTTTATAAGACAAGTTGGGTTGCCATGATTATCTCTTTGTTTTCATAGGGTGAAAATGTTTTAATTTAATTTTCTCAGAGTAATTTAAAGAAATTCCAACAGTACGCTTACCTGTTACCATGCTTAAACATTACAGGCTTTTAATTGTGTTGGTTTCTGTTACGAACTCATCCTTGAACACAATGATAATATGAAGCGTATTGCAGACTCCAAATCTGAGAGGCTGAGAAAGCGATTCGCTCGAATGCAGAGATTGGCCAAGAGCAGGCAAATGCCTCCTTTTGTTCTCGCTTTTCCTCTATTGGGGTCGCAAGTAAAATAACTCCCTAGATTCCTAGCTGTTCAGCTATGAAAAATACCTGACCCTGCTTCCAACAATTGGCAAAAGCTCTTTGAGCCTTTAGTTGAAATGCAAAAATTTCCCACTGACAGTTTCAAACGCGCATGTGCCTTTTTTCGTAATTCGAGTGTTCAAATGGGCATGAGCAATCTCTTCATAGAATGGTCGTGACCACATGCTCCATGCTAGTTTACCACACGAGTACGTCCTTTCATCATATGGTTTTCTAAACCTTGTCCTTGGATTTCAAAGGAAATTATCCAACTCATCAAAGCCTAACTTCCGACTGCTTAGTGTTCGGAGATTTTACATAATATTGTTTCTTGCAGATTAGCAGCTCTATTTTTTTTAACCCATGTTTCTCCACGCGGGGGAATTTGAAGCTTTGTTCATCCTCAATACAGAGCTTG